GATTCCAATGTACGAGCTGAAAACTATGCATTTATCCTCCTGAGGAGCTTCTAGAAGACCACCTCTCAACTTGTGAACAAACTGCATTTGAAAAGATCCCAGACAACTGCATGTGTTTAGTAGCACTGGTCTGTATGCCCAGACCCCAGAATAAGAGATGCCTAGTACATTTCATATCATATCCTTTTTTCTTCTTAAGTTAGCAATTATATAGCCAATATTTTTTGTACAGCTGATCTCTGCAGAGAAAAGTTTCTTAATTTTACTGGGGCGGCACGGTGGCTCAGTGGTTAGCATTGCTGCCTCGCTGCGCTGGGGACCTGGGTCCGATTCCACGCTCTGGCAGCTGTATGTGTGGAGCTTGCACATTCTCCCCATGTCTGCGTGGGTTTCCTCTGAGTGCTCCGGTTTCCTCCCGCGGTCCGAGGGTGTGCAGTTTAGGTGCATTGGCCATGCTGGGTTGCCCATAGTGTTCAGGGATGTGTAGATTAGGTGGATGGGTCTTGGTGGGATGCTGTGTGGGTCGGTGTGGACTTGTTGGGCCGAAAGGCCTGTTTTCACATTGTGGGGATTCTATGATCTATGATTTATCTAACGACAGCAGTTTTCCTTCCTGAAAGGACATTAGTGAACGAGATTAGTTTTTACACAACAGCAATGGTTTCATGGTCATTGCTGTATTTTAATTTCCAGATCCAAATTCCATCATCTGCCATGGTGCGATTAAAAGCTGGATCCCCAGAGCATTTCCTGTGTTTCTGATTTACTAGTCCAGCCATATTACCACAGCATGCTATCTCCTTAATAATAGATGCTAGCATTTCCCTGAGACTGACGTCAGGATAACAGGTCTTGTCGTTCTCAATTTTCTTGCTCTTTTGTTTAAATAGCTGTTCATTTGCTATTATCAGGTACTATTCCAGAATCTATGAAATACAGGAAGATGACTAATACCACATTCATAATCTCTACTTCACCTTTTTAATGTATTGCATGTGTGAAAACATGAGTTACTGGAACATGAACAAGAGAATGAACCTTTGCTGAGAGTTTGTGCCCGGTTTGGGTACTCGTCTTCCCTTTGTTGCCTTTTGGTGTCTAATGAAGACAGTTTGGGTGTTTCCATCCCTGCTGAGTAAGTAGTTATGGATGTTATAGGGAGAACTTTTAAATTACCCACGTTGCATTTTCACCTGGAAAATGTTTTACTTTGGATAAATTGAGCAAAAGTTCTTTTTAGCACTTCATTTTGTGCACAGATGTTTTTACTATATTTAGAAGAGATACTATGAAGGACTTATCTGGATTTTAAGCAGATTATGGGTTTGTGATAATGTCAAACTCATTAAATTTGACTAATTCACACTAACCTAACTAAGGATGGCCATTGCAATGCCAGTAGTTTTAAAAGCCTCCCTGTTAAGAATAGGGATAACTTAGTAGGTTAACAGTAGTCAATTGTGGGCATGAAGGGTTGAATAGCCTACTCCTGTGCTTATGTTCCAATGAGAATTTGGTTTTAAGGAATGTCTTAAAAGAGGAAAGAGGGGTTGAGAAGATGATCAAGGTGATTCCAGACTTAATGGTTTTGGTAGCTGACGATATGGACACCAGTGATAGAGTGTTTGAAATCAAGAATGTTCAAGAAGCTTGAATTGATGGAGGGGATATCTTAACTGAATACAGGGTGGGAGGAGGTTCTCTTAGGCAGTTCCTCAGGATTGATGATTTGCTTTCAAGGGGTTCTGAGGTGGTTCAGAAGTTCAATGCATGATCGGCAAACTCTGCCACATGGAAGGTCGGTGGTCCCTGCAGTGTTGGATGCATGAGGTTTTTTATGTAACTTTCCATGTTTGATGCCTTCCCAAATGGATCCTCTCCTTTTTATTTCGTCACAGATCAGGACTCCTGTAAATTGAGTGGGATGCTTTCAGGGCATCCCTAAGGTGCTTCAGCTGTCCATTGGGAGTCTCCTACTCTGGTGAGTTCAGGGTAGAACAGCTGCTTTGAAAATCTAGTGTCATGTATGAATATCATGTGTTTGTAATGATTAGCATCTTGATGTTAGTCAGGTTAACTTGGGAAGAGGGCATTGTTGTTGCATCACCTATTTTGCCAATGGATTGGGAGGGTCTTGTGAAGCCACCATGGGTGGTATAAATTGGTTTGAGGTGGTAGCTGCAGGTTGGTCAAATATTTGCAGGTAGGAGCACAGCGATCACTGTTGTCCGGTTACTCATGACCTGAGTCATGAGCTTGTCATCCTCGTCCTCAAGTGCTCTATTCCTCAAACAGTTATAGGGAGAGGCTGACTAGGCTGGAGCGTTGAAGGCTGAGAGGTGATGTTGTCGATGTTTATAAAATCATGAGGGGCATGGATAGGGTGAATAGCCAAGGTCTTTTTCCTAAGATATGCGAGTCCAAAATTAGAGGGCATAGGTTTAAGGGAAGAGGGGAAAAGTTTCAAACGGACCTGATGGTTAACTTTTTCACGTGAGGGTGCTGTGTGTATAGAACGAGCTACCAGAGAAAGTGGTAGAGGTGGGTACAATTAGAACATTCAGAAGGTATCTGGATGGGTCCATGACTAGGAACGGTTTAGAGGGATATGGGCCAAATGCTGGCAAATGGGACTAGATCAGTTTAGGGGATATCTGATCGGTGCAGACAATTTGGACCGAAGGGTTTGTTTCTGTACTGTATAGCTCTTTGACTGTATGAGCTGAAGGCCAAGAATATGCTGTCTTGGCCTTCATTGAAATGTGGGACATATTTATTTTTGTGGTATTTTAAAAAAATTGTGAATTGAAATGAGAAGAATTGTTTTAAAACCACTGCTTTAAAAGATTGCTGTGAGATTGCATTTGAAAACTAAGCAACCTGACACACATGGAAGCATGTTTAAACAGCCACTTAAATAAGCAGTAATTGAAGATTAGTTTGTAGCTAGATCGGAAAAGTCCTGTATTCGGATGGAGGTTTGGTTGGTACAAGAAGTTGATTGGTCTGTGGACTCATGACTAGTTTTCATTGACTCAGGACTTTTGCCTGCCAGCAACCATGTGATTGATTCTTGGGTAACTGAACTGTTAGGGGCTGGGAAAAAGATACAAAGAAGTGAACAGATTTCCATCAGCTCTTAAGCTGTCTGTCTCTGCATCCAAAATCCACACTAAACTGAAACAGACCAGTTTATCTTTCCTTCAGTTGCTGTAAGCTGTGGCTTTTAACTGATAAGTCAGATAACCGTTATAAGTGAACCAGGCACCTCTTATGCCTCTTCCAAACTAGTGGAAGCATTCGAAAAAGGAAACCTAAACAGCAAGAACCGACTTAACAGACCTTGTGAATCAAATCCATTAAACTGCTTTCACATTTTTCTCTCCAGCTGTTTTTCTTTCCCCATGTCTATGCCTGATTGCCTGTCTGTGTATGCAGTGGGAGTTTATAGGGATTAGATTGTTAACTAGCAGTGTTAAATTACAACAGTTTATAACTGCTTACAAGCTAGTTACAATCTAATTACTTGTTATAACTAGGAATTCTTGTTAAGTGCACAAACCTGGTCTCTGCTTTCAGTCAATCTGGGTCTGAAAATCAGGGGAATCTTTGTGCACTTCTTAAAAAATCTTTAAATTTTGTGACACTGAAGGAGTAGTGGAGCTTGATATCCAGCACACTACTCAAAGAACTGTGATAGAGAGTCACTTCTCAACTTGTAGATGTTGGTCCATATTTTATAGCACACTTCACTGATTAAGGTAAAAAGCAAGGATAGGTTAGAGTTAGGAGAGATTAGGCATGAAAGGATTGAAAACAAGTTTAAGAACTTTCACGTTGAGCTAATGCAACCAAAACAAGCTCATAAAAGATTGATAAGTGATGGGTATAGTGCAGTGGGTATCCTTCTCAGAAAAGGAGAGCTTGCTGTACTTTTCCCATCAACATTCCTCAGCTTCAACCTGACTGAATCAATCGAAAATGTACTTATAAATTTTTTCCTATTCACATCTATTCAGCCCTAGAATATTTCTTGATTGCAGACACTAACTTGTTGCCATGACAAGTGTTGCATTTCCCTGTGAAAATCAATTCCCCGTACACATTCCCCTGGAGAGTAGTGGATGAAAGTCTGATGGTGCTGCTGGCAAATCCTTTTATATATTTTCAACTTAACTCCTGCAATGGGACTTCTTTAAGTCCATGACTGCTGCATCTGACGTAATTTGTTCATGTGCTTCATTGGAAGATGAAAATGCAGTTATTTTCAGAAGGAGATTGAAGTTCTTAATGATTAAGTCATTTGAATGTACAGTTTCAATTCCTTAATTGTTTGGACTTGGATTTGATTTTTGTACCTAAAGTGATTACTTATTGAAAATGATCTAATGATTTTTAGGTTCTTTTATCTGTGGGGATTATAGTGTCAGTGCACTATCTGCCATAACAACTGTGATTGAGCCTCACTCCAGCGCTTGAAATTTTCCAAGTTTAGATATATTCTAGTAGATTAGTTCAATCCTGTTCCAAAAATAAGAAGCACATTTTAGATGAGTTTATATATTACTGAATGATGAATTACCACTCATATCAAAGTAGCTGAGCATGCAAACTGGCACAAGCTGATCAAAGCCAGTCAATTTGGAAAGGCACTGTTTCACAATAATCTATTGAGGATGTCATATCTATGAACATTGTTTGTATGCAATTTATTAGAAAGCATTTGATATGACATAGTATAATATGGTAGTGATAATAAAAGCATGGATTGGAAGTAATCTTGAAATGTAGGTTATTAATTTGGAGTGGGAGTCAGAGTTGGGCTAAGGGTGGTAGACTTGTGTAGGATGAGACTTCACCAGACAGCTTCCCCCAATGTCCGTGGTGATGTCTCTGCTTTTCAGTATATGTAACAATGTCTTAAGGAATTAACATTGTATATTCAAGTTGATTTTTTTTTTCTGAAATTTGTATTTCATTGTTTCTTCTCACTGTTTCAGTCTTATAAACTTGGCGTCACTTGAGCTAAGAGAGAATCTACTGACCTTGCTACCAGAGTAAGTGCAATAGATATTTTTGTCTATTTATGTAACTGTACACTGATATAAAAAAAATGGAAAATCACGAATGATGATGAAATGAAGTTCTTTGAATTGGATATTTTGTAGGAATTAAGGTTTGTAACTTCTAGTTAAATATTTGCAGGATTACTTGAATCAGAAAATCTCCTAAATTCATTATCAATAAGAAACTGTTTCTGTGAGATCTCCCTTCACACCCAATGACTAAATTTGTCATTTTGGATAGTGAGGTTTCTTAAGTCCTGTGCCCTTGGTGCTCTCTATCCTATTTCCGTTAGTGTAGAGAGAAGGGAAATTGTGGGAAACGTTTTTAAAAGTGTTTTCATCTCTTTGCTAGTGAGGAAGAAAATGCTAACCTGAATTTGATGGGAGGTGGTCTGATTTTGCCTGTAGCTTGTGGACAAAGGAACTACCCTCGAGTATGGTTTTAAGTCCTTGTCTCAAATCCTACCTACAGGAACAGTTGGGGCTGCACATTGACCACTAGTCTAGTTTGATAAAGAGGGAGAAAATTCAGCTATCCTTCCCATCGCAGATGGAAAATACCTGTCTGGACATTTGACGGGGGCAAAGTAGTTCGCCATGATGTCTGAGTGAATAGAATTCTGACATAACCATCTAGGCACACATAAATAATAGTTGTGTGGGTAGGACACTGAGAGGCTGCTGGTGCCTGTGTGGATTATGTTGTTAATTGATCTGGTGGTGGCGGTGAGGCTCCAGGGGCCTCCTAACTGGGAGGAAATCCTGCTACCCAAGTAGTCTGACTCTCCCTTGGTTGAAAAAAATTCAAGAGCTGTGTGTGTGCATGTGTATGTATATGTGTGCACATGTGTATGTATGTTTCTCCTATATTGTCAAGCTTTTAATTTGTACATGTTCATAGTTCTTTTATATCTTCAGATTTGCAATCCGCAATTAGTTGAATAAGACTAGAAATTGGTTTATGTATTTATTGTTAAGAATTTCAAATTGACATGGCTATTTTGCTATAGCCTTAAATTTTTATTCCCGTTCGTATTGGCAACAACACAATCAGTGTCAAAACTACTTGTTAAATGTAAAAAGTGGAAACTAAATTTCAAACCAAATGCCCTTTGCATGGAACAGTGACTTTCAAAGCTATAGTTTTCTGCACCAATAAATATTACTTTGTGTTTATGGTTGATGTAGAATGTATAGTGTGACCATTATCAAGTCCTGTTCAGTGCATGCCTATGTTAACTGCTGCTACAAACCTTACGGGTGAATGATATAGCAATCAAAATGTTGACACTGAGAAACCATATTAATTTACAGATCGCTTTCCCTTCTGTGCAAATTGGAAGAATTGGACCTTGGAAACAATGAACTATATACTTTGGTAAGATTTGTTTCAAGTGATGCTTTTCCTTTTGCATGGCAAAATGAAAAATCAGAGAGTTGTATGCTATCAGGGAATGATTTGTCCTCACATTTTGAGTAAAGGTTAAGCTAATCATTGTATTACATACCTATAATAGAGCTCCTTGGCCTGGGTTTTGCAGTTAGCAGCAAAGGAAGAGTGCTTACTGCTGACCCGAAAGGTTGCAAATAAAGGTCTGACAATCTCCGTGGTAGGAGTTTAACTGTTCTCCACGATGGTATAAATCCGCTGCCATGTCAAAGGAATGCCTTGGAGTAGAGCAGCAGTAATGTCAGTAAATAATCAAATTTAAATTTTCTCACAACAGATTTTGGAAATTAGAAGCACTTAACATCCTTTCCTTTGAATTTATATCATCAGATAATGAAATAAAGGTATAGCTGTGTTAAAATAGAAGATGAACTTAAGGTAAACAGACTATTTAAAAAAAGTTGGAAGTTCATTATTACTTTTAAAATCATTATAAAGCAATCTGATACTTCATAAATATATTCAAAAAAGCTTTCCGTGTTCAATAAAGCTGTTTAGTTGTTTAGTAATTATGAAGCTAACAGTTGTGATCTTCCCAAGCTCAAATTTCCCTACCTTGTACTTTGCACTTTCCAGTTTACAAAAGAACAGAAGAGCAAAAGAGAAGTACGGCACAGGAACGGGCCCTTTGGCCCTCCAAGTCTGTGCCGATCATCATGCCCTGACTAAACTAAAAAATAAACCTTCTGCCCTTATTTGGTCCATAACCCTCTCTTCCCTCCCTATTCGTGTAACCATCCAGATGCCTCTTAAATGTCACCAACGTGCCTACTTCCACCATCACATCTGGCAGTGCATTCCTTGCTCCTACCGCTGCCTGTGTGAAAACCTTTCTTTGCACATTCCCTTAAACTTTTGGCCTCTCACCTTGAATCTGTGCCGTCTTGTAATTCAAGCATCAATGGTGGGAAAAAGTCTCTCACTACTCGCCCTGTCTATGCCTGTCATAATTTTGTGGACCTCTATCAGGTCTCCTCTCAGCCGCTGTCTTTCTGGAGAAAACAATTCTAGTCTTTTTAACCTTTCCTCATAGGCATTACCCCCAAGACCAGGCAACAACCTTCTGTGCACGCTGTTCAAAGCTTCCACAATCTTCTGGTAGTGTGGTGACCAAAACTGCACACAATACTCCAAATGTGGCCTAACAAGGGCTTTATATTAGCTGCAGTGCATTTTGCCAACTCTTGTCCTTCGTGCCCTGGCTGACGAAGGCAAGCATGCTATATGCCTGCTTAATCACTTTGGCCACCTGTGTTGCCACTTTTAGGGAACTGTGGGCCTGCACGCCCAGATCCATCTGTATATTAATGTTCCTAAGGGTTCTGCCATTAACAGTGTAATTCACACCTAAATTTGATCCTCCAAAGAGTATCACCTCGCATTTGTCTGGATTCAACTCCATCTGTCATTTCTGTGCCCAAGTCGCCAATCTACCTATATCCTGCTGTATCCTTTCGCAGTTGTTGGCACTATCAGCAACTCCATAGTTCCTTGTAGGAGCCTCCTATTTTCAGTTTCAATGAACAAGGTGACTAGAGAAAAGAACATGAGGCAGTTTCCCATTGCTGACCTGGCAATATAAAGGAAATGTAACTCCTCTTTCCAAAGAGTTTCTATGTTTAAACCTTGAATATGAGGATCTGCACCCTGAACCCAGAACAGATGAGACAGGGAATAAGCAAAGCAAGTACAACCACTTGTAAAAAAAAACAATTTTTTTATGGTGCCAGTGCAGTTGGAGACTGTTGATCTCATTACCACCTGTCTAAATTGAATGATTCTAGGCCCTGGGTCTAATTGATTTATTTATTGTCTTGTATTCTGAAATACAGTGGAAAGCTTTGTTTATGATTGGTGCAGACAGATCATAGTAAGCAAAGGATGTATAGATCAAAAAGATTTAGAGGCATACAGGTTACATTGTACAGGGCGTGTGCTAGGCGAGATCACCGTTAGCAAGATCAGCGTTATTTGAAGCTAGAGAGTCCATTCATCAGTCTGATAATGGCAGGGAAGAAGCTGTTCCCAAACCTGCTTGTGCATGTGTTCAGGCTTCTGTGTCTTCTGGCTGACATAAGAGGTTGTAGGAGATCGTTACTAGGGTGTGATGGGTCTTTGATGATATTTGCAGCCTTTCTGCGGCAGCGAGCCATGTAAATGGAGTCATTGGATGGAAGGTTGGCTTCCATGATTGGTCTGGGCTGTGTACACCCGCTTCTGTAGTTTCTTATGGTTCTGGGCAGAGCAGCTGCCATAGCAGACCATTATGCACGTGGACAGTATGCTTTCAATGGTGCATCTGTAGAAGTTGGTGAGAGACCTTATCGACATGTCAAATTTTCTAAGCTGCCTGAGGAAGAAGAGGCATTGTGGTGCCTTCTTGCATGTCACATCTACGTGGGAGGTCCAGGACAGGTTGTCGGTTATCGTCACTTCAAGGAACTTGATGATCATCACCCTCTCAACTCAGCTTCATTGATGTAAATGGGGACGTGTCCTCCTCCTTTCTTTCTGAAGCCAATGATCAGTTCTTTAATTTTGCTGCTTTGAGAGACAGATTATTTTCATTGCATGATGTCACCAAGCCCTCTATCTCCCTTCTGTAGTTTGACTCATTGTTGTTAGATATCCATCCCACTATGGTGGTGTCATCAGCGAACCTGTCGATTAGCGTTCGTTTGGAATTTGGTAACACAGTCATAGGTATAAAGGGAGTACATTAGGGGGCTGAGGACGCATCCTTGGTGGGGGGGGGGGGGGCTCCAGTGTTGAGTGTTATTGTGGAGGAGATGCAGTTACCTATCTTCACTGATTGTGGCCTGTGGGTCAGAAACTGAGGATCCAGTCACAGAAGGCGGAGCTGAGGCCAAGGTCATGGAGTTTTGAGATCAGTCTGGAGGGGATGATGCTGTTGAAGGCGGAGCTGTAGTCAACGAGCAGGAGTCTGACATAAGTGTCTTTGATGTTCCAGATGTTCCGGGGATGAGTGCAGGGCTAGGGATATGACATCCTCTATAGATTTGTTACGTTGGTAGGCAAATTGTAGGGGATCGAGGCAGGCTGGCAGATTGGAGTTGATGTACGCCATGACCAGCCTCTTGAAGCACTTCATGATGATTGAGGTCAGAGCCAATGGGTGGTAGTCATTAAGGAACATTACGTGTGCTTTCTTAAGTACGGGGATGATACTGGTCTTCTTGAAGCAGGTGGGGACTTCGGCTTGGAGGGAGAAGTTGAAGAGGTCGGTGAATGCCTCTGCAGTTGGCCCGCACAGGATCTTGGTGCTCAGCTGGGACACCGTCTGGACCCATTGCTTTGCTTGAGTTGACTCCTAGGTAGACCGATCTGATGTCTGAAGCGGGTCGGAGGGAATAGGCGTGTCTGGGTTGTGGGGGCAGGTATGACCGGGCTGCTGGCATTCTGCTCAAACTGAGCATAGAAGGCATGGAGTGCGTCAGGGAGGGATGTGTCTTTGTCTGCTATCTTGCACTGCTTCATTTTGTATCCTGGTAATGTCATTTAGGCCTTGCCATAATCGGTGGGAGTCTGTTTGGTAGGTTTGGGTATCAAACTTGGTCCAGTTTTGCCTCTGTGCATCCCTGATGGCTTTGAGGAGGTTATGTCTGGGTCACTGATTTGAACGCTGCATGCCTGGCCTTCAGTAGGCATTGGACTTCCTGGTTCATCGAAGGTTTATGATTGAGGAACGCTCGGATTGACTTCTTTGGTATGCAATCCTCCACAGATTTGCTAATCAAGTCCATGACTGTGGTGGCATACTTGTCTAGGTTTTCTGCTAAATAATTGAACGCGGTCCAGTATACCGATTGCAAACAGTCCCGGAGATGGTTTTCCGCTGCCTCGGACTAGCACTGTACTACTTCTTGCGAAGGATTCTCCTATTTCAGCTTCTGCTTGTAAGCGGGGATGAGGAACATAGCGTTGTGATCTGTTTTTCCAAAGTGTGGGCGTGTAATGAAGCGGTAGTTGCCTTTGGTTGTTTAGCAGCGGTCCAGAATGTTTGGTTCCCTGATGCGGCAGAAGTTGTGTTGGTCGTACTTTGGCATCACTCGCTTGAGGTCGGCTTGGTTGAAGTCGCCGGCCATAACAAATAGGGTCTCGGGGAATTTTGTCTCTAGGATGTTTGTGGCGGTCTGAATCTCGTCCAGGGCATTCTTCACATCCGCATGGGGTGGTGGAGTTGAATTCTAATAATCTTCAGATGAACTTTTCACTGGAGATTATGCAGGTACATTGTTGAGTTGAAGAAGAGTTCTCCGGTTATTAAAGGATTGCTTGTAAATCTGAGAAAAGGTAGTATTCAGAGAATTTCAATCTCCTTTATTTATAATGGACAAAATAGCTTGTCAAGCTGCTAAAGTAGCACAGCTGAAATAATTAATTTTGTCGGATTGTAAGAAAGGGTTTATTTAAATTTTAGCATTTGGTTTTCTTTTAAATCGGTGTTTTCTTTTAAATCGGTGTTTTCAAAGGGCAAAGAAATTTTAAGGAGCGTTATCTGATCCTGTAAATTAGACCACTAAATGTACCTAAGGGGTAAAATACATTGGAAAAATCTGTTATTTGTATACAAAGAAATGTAGTGATTGCAAAATGTTTAATTGCCTGCCTATTAAGTGCCTTGTATATATTTGAGGCAGTGATCCAGTCATTCTGTTAAGAACTGCAGCCACTGTTGAAAATTTGCTTTAAGAATTTATCACTGCTTCAGGCCCTGTTTTCTACAGCATTAATTATACTTAAATGAGAAATTGCAACATGATCTTGTAATGTGTTCTGACACGAGGATGTGGCTTTGGAATGGTGCAGTCACAGTCTGAATAGATCAGAGAAGTAAAGCGTGTGTTGTTTAGACAGCATCTTTCACATTCTGGGGACATCCTTAATGAAGACCTTTTCAAGTGTGT